CCACATATTAGAGACCCAACCCTAGAATTTGTATCCACCACATATTAGAGACCCAACCCTAGAATTTGTATCCGCCACATATTAGAGACCCAACCCTAGAATTTGTATCCACCACATATTAGAGACCCAACCCTAGAATTTGTATCCGCCACATATTAGAGACCCAACCCTAGAATTTGTATCCGCCACATATTAGAGACCCAACCCTAGAATTTGTATCCGCCACATATTATATTATATAGGAAACCCAACCTTAGGCTTCTTTGTATTCGCCATATATCTTTAATTATATGTGGAAAATAAAAGTAAAATTAATTAAATATATATTCTAATTAAAATTGATTTGTCTTTTAAATCAAAGAAAAGATCACCTTAGACATATCATATTTCTTGCAAAATGTTGACAGATCTTGTCAAAACTTAAAGCTTAATGGTCAATGGCCTCAGAAAATTTGTTGAGAATTTTGTTTGACCTTAACGGCACAATGATTTTGATAACAGCAGGCAAACCAGTTGAAGTGGGACCATGTCAATTGCCTTATCAGACCTGTTCACTCTTACGATTTTGGCGTTCAATTTTCAGGTGCATACATTATATATTCTGTATGTTTATTTTTTTTACTATTAATATAATGTATTGAACAATTTTTGTGCTGATATTGCTAGATTATAAGAGTTTGAGGGTAAACAGGTCTGCCTTATTGACACTGCACATATAAGAGCCTAATATAACAATGTCAACAAGATCAGTCTCTAGAAGTCTTGAAATAAATTTTAATACACATTTATACAACAGATGAATCCATGACAGTGAAGGAAAAATGAACCTCAACATTGAAAATTTAATCAAGAAAGAAATCCTTTGCTACAACTTAACAAGTCACATCATCAAAGATACTCAAAAAGTAATATAATAAATGCAGTGTCATTCTTTGAGTGGCACAAACGCATGGGTCCTAGAGAACTCTTGTGATAAAGCTATTAGCCAACGAACATAGAACAATGTCACTCGCTAGCCCTTACTAGCAGCAATATTAAACAAAAGTAATTTTCACTATTAAAAAGGAAAAACTACTGCAAAAAAAAATTAAATAAAGACTAGCTTTCAATATGGTTATGTCCCTTCTTTTTGTTTTGTCACTCCAACAATTCTACACTATAAATTATTGTTAGGGTGTTGGTTGTTTTAGACATAATAAATACTATCATAGGAAAATGGTAAATAACAGATTTCAATTATTACTAAAAATTAGGTCAGCAACTAACTATTGGCATAGACATAAGCAGTTTTAAATAAACCTGATATTCACTGCTTCCTTCAAGCTCACAAATAACTTTGTAGTAACTGAAATCTGAGCTAATTGACCTGCCACATTATGAAGAAAAGAACTACTAAAAAACAATTTGATTTGCTATCTAACACACTGGTAGATAATTCATATTTCCAATTCTAATTTACTGAGATGAGAAACATAAGTCTATGAGCCATTTTGATACAACCTTCAAAATGCGGTAGAAATATATCGCCATACATGCTAATGTTCAGTGCATTAAAATAAAGTTAAACGTCTGGTATTCTTGTATCTAAACACAGTCACGAGTTCACAAAGAATCAGAAAACAATTACATCTTTAATCCCACAACAGCAACCTTTAAATTATAACTACAACAGAAAGTGTGTGAGAAATGGAGTAATTTACACTGAAGTGATTATGAGGAGTGAAAAAAAAAAAAAAGACATCTATCTTGGGTAGTAGTTCTCATCATGTTCATGGGCATGTGGGTCAGGGTAATCTGTCAGGTCCAGGCTCATGCTGTTACTGATGACACAATCACCTTGCTGAAATATTATTGCAATTATTCTCAGTTACTTTATATTTCAAATATACTTCAAGTTGATCACATTAATTGACATTAAATAAAACACAAATAACTTAGGGGGCTGATAGAGGTTCATTTTAATTTTTGAAAAAAAGTTTTTTAAAGTTTCAGTCCAAAATAAAAAAAAAAAAAAAAAAAAGTGATTTTCCCTAATTCCGTGCCCGATTTCGTTTCAAAATTCAGCATGGTGAACACTTGATTGCAAATGAGATTTTTAATTGAGTTCTCTATACAACAAAATTACCTCAGGGTAAATTCCTATGAGTGCATCAGCTCTGTTGTAAAACTCTTCTTTAAGTGAGATAACAATACATTGAAAACTCTTCCCTGACTGTTCTCTTATGTAAGCTGCCACCTGAAATAACACATTTGATTGAAAACATGGCATTTTAAAGAAGATCACTTAAGAGTAAACACATAATGCTCAGTCCCAACAAAGGACATCCCTACCACTCACAGTATAAGTAGCAATGTTTGAAATGCTACCCATACAGCTCACAGTATAAGTAGCAATGTTTGAAATGCTACCCATACAGCTCACAGTATAAGTAGCAATGTTTGAAATGCTACCCATACAGCTCACAGTATAAGTAGTAGTGTTTGAAATGCTACCAATATTACTCACAGTATAACTAGCAATGTTTGAAAGACCATCCATGCGGCTCACAGTATTTTTCAGTAGCAAAGTTTGAATCAAATATATTATTGTTAAATGTTTTTTTACCTTGCCAATATTTGTGTTATCCAACGCGGCATCAATCTCATCAAGGACAAAAAAGGGAGACTGTTGGTAACTGGTCAAGAAAGGAAAGAAGACTCACTTGAAGGAAAACACTTTACATTCCTTAATAAATCTTAAAGATGAGCTACTGATTTTTCATCATAATGTTAGGGTGAAAAGAAGAAAGACTTAAATGCCCAAACATGTACCTGTTGATAGAGAACAGAAGAGCAAGAGCTGCCACAGTTTTTTCACCACCAGATAAATTATCCATTTGTCTGAACCTCTTCCCTGGGGCCACACAGTTGTAATTGATGCCATCAAGGTAGGGCTCTTCTGTGTTTTCAGGGTTTAAAAATGCTTGGGCGGATTGGTTTCTGGCAAGAGACTGGGAATAAAAATGTTCAAACAAAAATTGAAAATAAAATAATAGGAAATTATCGCATTCTTCACATTACAATTTTAAAATATATAAATTTAAAAAAAAGTAAGGTATAAAAACTTAATCCTGTATGTTAAATGGTAAGAATAGACTCCTTTTAACTTCACACAATTGTTGTGCCAATATTGTTGAAAAGCTTGACAACATAAAATGCAAAGGGAAATTTCAAATTAAGAAACTTACACAAAAAGGGAAAAAGCTGTTGAGGCACAAGCTGTGCCCTTATTTCAATTTTCTTTTACAACAAACAAACAATAAAGAAATTCACCTTATAAATTTCATCTATTTTAACAGAGACATGATCAAAACAATGCATAAATGTGTCGTAACGTTTTTTCTTGATTCTTTCAAATGCTGTCTTTGCCGACTTCGCTCTTCGTCTTGCATTCTCAAACTCTTCTGATGTTTCTTGAAATCGTTCTTTTACACCATCTAATCTGTAACAAATACAAATGGAACAATTTCATTTATTTGCAATTTTGTCACTTTTTACACTACAAGGGGATCACTGGACACCTTCACAAAGTAAATTGAAACTGGCTTACTTTTCTAAGGCTTTCATATTAGGAGCATTAATTTTCTGTAATGTGATCTGAAGATCTGCTATTGCTTTGGCCATGGTCTGCTGGGCTGCTTTTTCTTCTTCTGCTGAGTCAAGCTGTACAAGAATTAACAAACTACAATTAAATTTTAACATTTAATGAATTAACATTAACCCCTAACCAAAATATACGCAATAGCTTTATTGCTTGATTGTATACGCCATTAATAATACATAATCACAATCTATGTGTGCCCAAAAGGTCTACATCTATTTTGTTTCCAAACACCATATATAGGATAAACATTATGTCTTTTGTTTACAAGGAAAGGCATAACAAGGATTGAGCATTTAAAAATATGACTAATAAACTCAAAAAAGGTTTAATACAATGGAACTGGAAACAGAGATTTTATAGAGTAAAAGTTGAAAGGTCAAAATAGCACTCTTTAATTAGTAGATTTTTAAAAAAACGTACACGTTCTTCTTCACTTTGATATATTTTTTTACTGAAACAAATGTTTAAGGTATGTTTATCCAAATAATGATTTTTTTTTAAAAATTGAGCTTTTTAGAGGAAGCTGAAATTTTGTTTAGAAATATAGATGCTCTAACATTATAGAAAACATAAACTGTTTCAACAGAAAATGATTTTGTTTAAAAACTGTTTCATTTTCTGGCAGGTTTTACAAAACAACTTAAAAATTAATATTATTAATTATTATTTTTACAAAATTGAATATTTTCTTATATTTTAATACTATTCTTTGATCAACTTTAAACAAATTACATTACAAGAAATGTTTTTTAAATTTTAAATTCAAATACTACTTCATTCAAGGATAATAAATAAAGGACTGCGTTCAGGAAATAAAAGAACATGGAATGTGGAAGCTTGAAACAGACAGACAGCACACAAAAACAGAAGAATGTTCAGCAAATGAAGAAATGACAAGAAATAGAAAGTGTTTGTCATATTCAAGTTATTGCCAGAAAAGTTCTTTTTTAAAATCACCTCTCTGTACTCCTCATTCAACTGACTGTAATCGATTTCTAAAGCTGCTTCTCGCTCATAAATGGCTTTAGCACCTTGGCTGCTCATAGAGTCAACTGGAGTTTCTTGACTGCCATCGATATCTCCTTCAGCAATTTCGTCCATTGTTCCTCTGCGCATAGGTACTCGAATGTCTTCCATCTGCAGAATTTTTTTTTTCTTCATTTGTCAAAATGTTTATCTTGGCAAAAATTATTTTAGGATCACATTAGATACTATAAAAGTAATTAACAAACAATTATAACCAAAGTATTTCAAAACAGTTTTAAAATTATTTATTTTTTTAACTTGACAAAGACCCCCTTACCTTACAACTTTTCAATAAGCTATGCCTGTCTGCTCGTCTTTGTTCTAGCTTGACCTCTAGACCGTTAATGCCCTTTTGAACTGCAGCGATTTCTTTTTGTTGTACAGTTAACCTCTTGCGTACTTCATTGATCTCCCCCTCCATGTCATCCACTTGTGACTTGAACGTCAGTTTGTTCTGTTTTAGCTTTTCTTGACGTTGCATCTCCTCTTCAATAATCTGTTAAAACATAAATATTTAACCAAATGCTTACCAAAGATTTGTGCCAAACGTGAAAAAACTAATTGCTTGTCTTTATGAAATGTTACCAAGAGAATAAGCAAACAATATTGTGTGGCAGATTATGAGCTATTTGTTCATTTGGTTTATAAACTTATTCCAGATCAATCTACAAAAGCTTAAATTTAAACAAAACCTTTTCTCCTCTTTGTCATTTAAGTTATCATTTTTTAAAATTTGTCTTAAATTATGTGACATAAACATTAACATGTACATAAATAAAGTAGTGCATCCATTCCACTTTCAAATAAATAAACTTTAACAAAAATAACATTCCTTTATGAACAGATAAAAAAAAATTAACTGAGGTAATTTTTAGCAGCCTTTATTTATTTATTTCCTTTAAAAAAAATAAAAAATTCTTATCTCTCTCTTTCAAAATGGCTAGATTACCTAAATGAAACCTTTCAGTTTACCTGCATCTGTTGAGCCTCCTCTTCTTTCACTTTATCCACCTCCTTTTCTGTTTTACTGACAGTTTCTTGCCACTTGTTCACCACATCTGAATAACAGTCAACACTTTCATTAGGAGCAGGTTTGTACAGACATTTTGTTTAAGGTGAAGATATTCACACAAAAAACAACAAAGAAATAAATAATAAGTTCAGCTTAGATTAGCGTGTTGCACTCAAACAGCATCAACACTTGTAAACACTAATGAAAAGAATCACTATCATTTCATACTAGTTCATTAGATAACATTTTAAACAAAAATACTTCAGAGGAATAATTGGGGTGGTAGGCTTTTTAGCGGGTCATAGGAGATTTTTATAACTGTCTATAAGTACATTGATTATATACTATTAGAGAAAAGCAATTAGATAAAAATGATTCAAGAAGGTTAACATAAGTGAAAACTCATTTTACATCCAAATATTTTTTTTTTCAAGTTTGGATTTAAACAATAATAATTTCATTAGCTTCGATACCCTATTGCTGCTACTAAGTCCATGACATGGCTAAGAGAATTAGCTGTTTTTTCCCTAGTGAAATAATTTAATGTAGCTGTCTTGTGTTCAAATTGTTTTATTTATGTGCTGTATATGTACAATGCAATCAAAAAACTTTTCCATTTGTTTGGATCAATAAAAGACTCTTATCTTATCTTTTCTTAAGTGATCAGCTTATGAGCAGGCTACACACTTTTCAGGCTTTTACTTACTAAAAACAGGGACAGCTTATGAATGAACATGTTTTTTAATGAGTGTATTAAGTGTTAATTAGGCTTCACTCAATTTCTAAAATATTAATTAGGTTAATTTTTGAATTCCATGAACTTCTTACCATTACATTAAATTATCATTAAATTACAATAAATTTATAATTTGTCAAAAAATGAGGTTTTCCAAAGAAAATATTTGTTTAAAAAAAATATAAATAATTAGGCATTTTGGTGAAATTCATCCTTGCAAACTTTGGCCATTATCGCTACAAATAATCTGTATTGAATCATTATGACATGAAAAGCAATGACAACAATTTATATTACCCAGTGTATCTTGTGATTTTTCACACTCCAGTTGGTTCTCAAGTTTGTGCCGCTGGTTCTCATACTCCATACGTTTCCTGGCCCTCTCCTGTTGAGCTCTCAGCTCCCTCTCCTCATAGTGTCTGAAATGTTTTTAAAAAAAACAATATTAATATTATTGAAAATCTAAACAAATATAAATTTTCTTTAATCTCAGCAAACATATTAATTATATTACAGGGAGATATTTTGGGTAAAAAAGGCTAGTTAAAAATAGGAGTTTGCATTATACATGCATAAAATCTCTTTCTGCGTCCCCAAGCAATGGAATTCTTTCCACAATATACTGACCATACAGGCCTTAAAAACTGCACTCAAAACACATCTCTTTAAACTCTACTATCCCGACTGATCCCCCATTTGACCGATTAAATGATGCCGTCCATGGCTTGACATGAAAAAGTTCTGGGGTCGGTGGGTGGTATGAATATACATTTGTTTTTGTTTTTCTACAGCTGTTTTGTAATTAAATAAATGTATGTTACTTTTTAATTTCATGATTATGTTTGCTAATAATTTTTATGTGCAGCGCGGTGATCTCCGCACTAGGCTGGGGGTACAGCGCTATATAAGATCACCAATAATAATAATAATAATAATAAAAAGAAACGTTCATAACCAGTATTGTACACCTATCACAGCACATAAATCCCTAAACACAACACATTTATACCTGATGTTTGGTACACCTATCACAGCGCAGAAATCACTAAACACTGCATCCTCTACTCTGTTCATCTCATCTCTCAGCTGCTTGATGTCTACTTCTCTTGCATCAATACTGCGCTCTAATTTTTGTTGATCAGGCTAAAACAAATGGGATATTTCATAAGAAAGATAGGTTTAGTCCAGACAAACAAAAATCAAATTGATCTGAATGCTCCTAAAGGTAAAGTTTAAAGAAAGACCAAATGCATTGCTAGACAAAATCAATTTGTTTATCTTCACATCTAGCCAACATGGCTTTCTCACAGTTAAAAAACAATAATTGTCTGCAATATTTATTTATTTTATTGGTTATGTTTTTCATGTAATTTAATTACAATTTTTTTAAATTTTCAAAATTGTCAACTGACTTTAAAGAAATAAAAGATAAAAATATACCTACCATTGCCTTTTCAATTTTCATCTGACATTCTGCAATCTGATTCTCATTATGTCTAATTGTTCTGTTTCTCTGAAAATAAATAAGATTAATAACTAAATATTTTAAAGATCAATGGCACTCAAGCAATAAGTTTCAACAGAATTATTATTTAAATTATTGGACTTGTTAATAACATGTATCCAATACAATACTAAATAAAATATATTTGTTTTAAATTCAGACTTTAAAAAATAATCATTGTTTAAGTAAAAGACTTAAAAAAACTAACAGCCACTCGCTTCATGTGTTTAACCTCACTTAATATTTCCAATAATATAAACAAGACATGAAAAATTTGTGCTTCATTTTGCATTAGGGATTCTATTATTATCTCTCATTAGTCTTCCTGGATATTTGAAAACAGCTGATGCATCAGCAAGTCTGCATTATATTTCAGCTGTGAGCAACTTGATATAGAGAATACACTGTAACCCAATGCATTTACAATTAATATTTACATCAGCCCCCTACAGGAACATGAGGAAAACAATTACACCAGGGACAATGCCCAAATCTCGCACCATCATCAAATTATACTTAAAAGTGATTATTACTGTTTGAATCTGAACAGATTTTTTTTTTAATGTTCATCTATCTTCAAAACATACAGCTATTTACAGTGATCTGAAATTGACTGTATTTTTTTTGTTATCAATCCAATCCTCCAAGCATGTGTAGAACCACCAACGCGCCATTTTAGTAATAGCAAAACACAATTTAAACAATATTCAAATATCACAGATGAAAAATAGACAGTTTAAAAATGAGCACTTAAGTTTTGCCCACCGTGTTTTCCAGATCTGTAACGCTGTACTTTAGACGAGTTTCCAAGCCTTTGATCTGAGATCTGATGGTGTTCAGCTCAGACTCTTTACGTTTTCTCTTCTGCTGTTCTTTCAGCTCTTCCATGAGTTTCTCTTTCTTGGTTTTTAGTGAACTTAAGCTCTTCTCATCCCAACGACGTGCTTTAGCTTTGAGATCACTAAAAAATAAATTTAAAAATAGTAACTAGAAGCACAAAATGATTTAAGTTATGATTCTGAATAGAAAAGTATAGATTTTATTTTCTATTGTTGACTAGACAGAAGTCACTAAGATATTAATTATTATACCTTGCGCCACCTGAGATAATGCCAGACTTGTTGAAGATAGTTCCATCTAGAGCCACAGACTGAAAAAAAATAGCATATTAAAAAGTAGTTAAATAATTATTAACACAAATCTTTTTTCTTAAATAATTTTTTTTTTTAAATAACTTTTTTTTTAAACTGTAATCTTTTATACCCATTCAATTAACTAATATCTTTAAAATATGCAGAGGTAAAAATGGTTCAAGAAAAATACTATTGGTAAAAAAATTAACTGACATAAAAAATTAATGTTTTTTAATGAATAAGATTTACTTTTTAAAGAAATTCATTAACGCCTAACTGAACGTTCTATAACAAAAACTGGCATCTCATTCTTTATTGCAGTCCAATCCTCTTTTAATTGGTTAGCCTAAAAAAAATCACTTTTTTTATTTTGCAGGAGAAGACATGATTTTATTAGTTTAACATTATTTTTAACTAGTATTAGATTACCCGCTGTCTTTCAACTCCTCCAAATGCAACACGCCGAGCATCCTCCACTGTTTCACAGACAAGGGCATTGCCACAAGCAAACAGCAATGCTTTCTTGATAGCAGGGGGGTCATAGTGGATAACATCAATGACAAGTTTCACATTTTTTGGGTCCCTGATGTCTCTGAGAATTTTTGTAGCTATCATTAATCATTGCTCCCCGCTTATGAATATTCATGCTCAAATAAAGAGATTATTTTTAAAAAAGTGTAAATATTTCCGTCAACTAGCTACTTGATATATAGCATTGTTATGGTACAGTGAATACAGTTTGACTAGGTGAAGTTTCTGAAAGACAATATCATCATACTCAAATTAACATATTCATAAAGAGCTGCTACGTGAATCTAAAAGGTTCTTTGATAATGTCCACATGACAACGGGTGTATAAAAAAAAAGGATTATTTATGTGCCTTGCAAAAATCAGTGTTGAATTATTGTACTTTTAAAAACTATAATGACAAGGCAATTCTACAAATAAAATGTTTCAAAACTTTAAATACCGGCACCAAAGAAATTTGTGAATTTTCTTTTTAGGAAATCAATGACACTATATTTGTTTTGAATGACCGTCGGATTTCCCACTGCTACCTACCTTAATTTCTCATTGATCTGTCCCACATCCAAGTAGTCAAGGGGCAAAAAAGTTTCTGGTTCAATCCTCTGCTCCTTCATATACTGGATACAATCCTTGGCAGTCTTCTCTGAATCACAAACAATTGAGTCCATGTGCTTGCCTAGCACTTTAGTAACTGCTATATGATATTTTTTGTGGCTGGGTTCACACAAATCAATGAGACGACCATGCTGAAAAAAATGTAGTGCAATTAGTGATAAGGCTAAAATGAAAGAAAGTAATGCTTCTAATCAAGAAACTAAAAATTGAAAATAGAGAAGTTTTTGAAAATATGAGCAAAAAACTTTCAACATTTGAAATTAAATATTATATTTAACCTTCTAATGCCAAAAGCACCCTCATTCACCTCACAAATTCCAACCAGCCCCTGCCTATTATTTGGGATGTGGCATGGGTGGCAATTAGTCACGTATGATGCTCTTTAATGTCGCCTATTAACTAAACTACCCTATATTGTTCTACTAAAATTTATTGATGCACTCATGACTAAAGCTCTATTTATATAAGATAAATCCATATGTTTTTATCTTCTTTCGTTACAACTAGATTTTTTTTTTTAAAAAGCCAATGAGTGTGGCCTATGAAAATTTATTAAAATTAAATGGAAGATTGTAATTGCCAAATCAACTCACTATGATCCTCCCCACCTCAGGAATAGCACATTAACTGAAAAATTTAGGAACTCAACAGGAACCCCAGGTCACTGGTCAAAAAGTCTGTAGCTTAATGTTGGAATAGAGATGCTGCCACCCACCCCCCTAGCGCTACAAAGGGCACATCACCTCCATGCATTGGACCTGCGTGGTCACAAAAAGATCATGCATGGTATCTACCGAAAATTAAATCCATAGAACCTAATTGACAGCTGTATCGACTGTCGGAAAATAGCAGAAACAGGTTAGAGATCATGATTACTAGTTGCCTTTGATGTATATGAGTAATATGGTTGGTAGTGGCAGCCCATACTTAAGATTATTTTTATACAGCCCATGAGGGGGACTGTTCCTAGGTAACAGTTCAATCCCAGCTACTTGGCAAGTATTTTCGAGGTCAATGCGATAGTAGGAACTTTCTGGGCAAGAAGGGGTACTTATGAGCTTAGGCTGCCTGCTGAATTTTATGCCTTAAGAGGATTAGATTAGGTACTCATAGGTGTGAGAGAAAAACCATACACAAAAGACATGATGAAAAGACAACAAAGTTCAGAAAGTTACCCAAGTTTGTAAAAATCCTATTATTTTAGTACACTGCAAAAACTGAAACTTTTAAAAGAAACAATGAAGCTCATAGACACAAAATAAAGGACAGTCTTACTCGTTTAGTTTATTTACTTTTTTTTATGCTTGTCACCAAATTAAATCATAATAAAGCAATAAAAGTAGTTGTTTACCACTCCTGGATAGAGGCGCTTCAGTGTGTCAATCAGTTCAGCTTTCCTGGTTGCACGAGATGACTCTTGTCTGTCAACCTGTTTGAAAAGTTACGTCTCCCATTACACACGTGGAAAATGAGATCCTTTAAAATTAGTCTCTGGCCATTTCAATCATGATTATTCTTTCCTAATGATTTCTGCACTGCGGCCTCTAATAAGGTGAAGTTCAAGTATTTAATGTAATGAATGAAAAATTAGTGTTTTAAATATATTAGATCAGACCTGTTTAACCTCAAAATCGTACAATATCATCATATAATCGTTCAATACATTCTCTTTATAGAGCAAAAACGTGCTGTATATATAATGTATACACCTCAAAATCGTAAGAGTAAACAGTTCTGTTAGATGTACCATATTAATGTGCATACCTTTGCTTCCCCAAGTTGCATGGTTATACTCTCTAACTCTCTGTTGATTTCATCAATCCTGTAAGTTGACTCATTGACTTCTTTAGCCAGCTCCTGTTCAACCTTCTTCTGGTCTTCCAGTGCAGATCGGCTCGTTCTAAAATCAAAGATAGAAATCAAGTTTCCCAAAAGCATTCTAAATCATTTTTTTTTAAAGCTAATCTAAAACTATTAAGTAATTCAAAACAAAATATATATTTTTATTTTAATTAATATGAAAATGATACCATCTTGACTTTTTTAAGGAAAAAAAAAAGAATTATGATTTTTATCTTGATCAAATGAAGAATATCAATACATTTAATGTATTTCTTTCCCATCATTAAAAAAAATCAGAGTAATTAAACTATTAAAGCAATTAAGGTGGCATAAAATAGCTGGAACTCCAATAAGATACTTCTTGGCTTACGTGATGTAATCTTCCAATTTGGAAACACGATTTTTATTTTCTTCAAGCTCATGCTGCTTCTGTTTGAGCTTGGCTTCATATGTGGCAATGTCTCTGAGGCAGCTGTCCAGCCTGTCTTGGTCCATCTTCTGGTCTCTGATGATGGCATCCAGTTCCTGCATGTATTCTGCAGCTCGACGACCAGCCTCTTCCTTGAGTCTATTGTACTGCTGAACCTGAAGGGGAAATTACATATGGAAGAAATTGATTCGACTGCTATTATGAATGCACTATGAGCCAACTTTTTTTAAAGATTGCTTGAGTAAAGAAAAGTATAGATTTTATTTTTTTTTAAAAATGTTATTCTTACTTTTCTAAAAAAATTAACATTATCATATTAGATAATATTTCCAAACTCTTACTTAAAATCAGTCAAAACGATAACTTTGCCTTTAAAAAAAAAATCATTTTTACCTGACTTTCTTCCAGTTGCAGAGATCTTCCTTGAGACTGAGATTCTTCCTCCAGCTCTGCTTCAAAGGCTTTCTGTTTATGCATTACTTCATCCAGTTTTTCTTGAATTTCTTCCAACTGTAACAAAGCCAAAGTATTTTTCAAAAGTGTAGTGGAATATATAAAAAAATTAATTAACCCTTTACAGAGCAGAGCGGCAAAAAACTTCTTTACTAACGAAAGGGCAAAACATCAGAAGTAACAACTGAGGGTTGTAAACACGAGATCTCCAAGACTTTGCGAGACTTCCCATTGTTTACTTCCGTTTCTTCCCGATAGCTTGTTAGCGTGGGCGCCAGTTGCAAGTTTTTTCTTTAAATGTGATCAGATTTTTTTTAAGTTTTCAGAGTTATAATGTTATGTTTTTCAAAATGGATTTCGTCTTTTCTTCAACTGATAGTGGAGATTTCGCTGGGTTTAATTTAAGTGACAGATTTGCTGTGGGCTTCGACATGCCGCCATCCCATCATGGGGATGGTAGGTTGTTGTTCCAACTCGCCCATGTCTCTTTTAACGAGATGACAATACAGACACTATGTACCTGTAGATATAATGATTGTTATTGATACCATGTCCCATATTTCATTAATTAAAATGTTTGAGTGGTCTAACATTGTCGCGATGCAACATATGCTCCCGCCGACAATGAAAAGACTTATATTAAATCCACAAATTGGATGTATATATGTACAAGCTATGTCACCTTCCAGACATCGATCTGAATTCGTTGCTGTTGGAACGGGACTTATCAGCTTATGGATATTCGCCTGGATACTTATCCAATTTTGTATCATTTTTGCCTTTAGCCTGGTTTCTACTACTGGACCGACTTACCTTGAGCTGGAACTAGGGGATTGATCTACATCCTACACCAAACTACCTGACAGCTAGGACTTCGAGATTCAGGGACTCTCACCACCACGATTTATCGCGGGAGAGTCATCTTCCCCTCGCAGACATCCCAAGGACTCTACGACCGGGAACTCCGACTTCGCTACGCTCAGAACAGCACCGAAGGCCGGAACAGGGACACGCTTCTTGAACAGAAGGACTCCCACACTGTGTGATCCACCGAGACCATCACAGAAACTATAAAGGCTAAGTTTACCAAGATCGAGCATAGAACTTGAGCAATATAGCAGTAGTAATGATGATACCGTCTGTATGTTAGGGACACTTGCTTTGTGTTAATATACCTTTCTAATTGGATGAAATCCGTTTGATGTATATACATTGAGCACCACGAGTGTTTCACGTAGGAAGTTGTAAATATTATTGTGTAATAAATATTTGTAGTTAATTTCACCTTTAACTAAGACTTCGTTTCAGTCTATACTATATGTATATAGATAGGTGTTATGTCCGTGTGGTTATTCGGCTTAAAAAACATATCCCTAGACAGAGTGCCAAGAAGAGATATCATACGAGAGACACTCCTCTCTAATAAGTCATAAGTCAGATCACCACACGGGTGTAAATGGGGGCCCGTCCGGGATGTTTCGAACAAACGTCCGTTTAGAATAATTTTATAGATAGACTGAATAATTTTGATATTGGCGACTTTTGAAAATTTTTAAATTTCAAGTCGGAAAAGGATAAGAACTAAGTAAGAAACTATATTTGCTCTGCTCAAGATTTATGTTCTTTCTGTATAAAATATTAAATTAATTTAATACTTATAGATGTTTTATCTAATATAGAATTGATTTGTTTGTATCAAAATCATTGGTTCGTACTGCTGGTGTTCTAAGTTCTAAGTGGTAAGTACTATCATACGCCAAATATGGCAGAGTTTGTTAAAATCAAAGCTGATGCCAGAAAGGACGGAGAATCATATGGATTTGAGGGTGCCGAATTATCAAAATATGTCGAGGCTCAATGCGAGAAATGGGAAAAGAAAGAGGCCGAGAGAGAACGCATTAAGGCAGAGAGAGAGAGACCGCTGAGAGAGAGAGAGACAGGCAGAGAGAGAAGCCGCTGAGAGAGATAGACAGGCAGAGAGAGAAGCCGCTGAGAGAGAGAGACAGGCAGATATAGAAGCCGCTGAGAGAAAGGAACAGGCAGCCAGAGAGCACGAACTAAAGATGAAGGAGTTGGAAACAGAACAGTTAAGAATTAGCCGTGAACCAAAAACTGAAGCCACTGCTTCAGGGTCCAGTACCATACCAACCGCAGTCACGTATGACGCCAAGGTAGGACTAGTTCACGCACCTTTTTTATTTCCACTGGAAGCGTTTGATGATAAGATTGAGACAATGGACTTTTTCTTAAACCGCTTTGAGAGGTTGGCCCGTAGCTATGAGCTTCCGGAAGATAAGTGGAACATCAAACTATCCCCTGCCCTGAAAGGAAAAGCTCATGAAACCTACTGTAAATTATCCGAGACTGAATCCTCAAGTTATCCTGCGTTAAAATCAGCTTTGTTGCTCAAGTATGAATTAACAGCTTCCTACTACCACAAGAAATTCCGAAACGCCCGCATCGAGAGATCAGAAACTTATGCTCAACTCTTAGAAAGATTGACACAGTATCTGTCGAAATGGCGCATTCTAGGAAAATACCCAGAATCCTTCCAAGGAATGGTAGACCTGATAATAATAGAGCAATTTAAAGAATGTATGTCTCCGGATCTTAGGATATTCATAGAGGAACAAGGGGCCACCCAGATAGATGTAATCAAGGAGTTGGCGGACCGGTACACCTCCGCCCACAAGGAAGATCGTAAAGAGATAAAAAAAAGTAAAGGGCCAGCAGGAAATAAAATCCAACAAGTCTACTCATGAACCCGGAACAGGGCCACCGCACCCTAGGAATTTTAAATTAGATAATTCATCCTTTGGCCATAAAAGAAACCAGGTAGAATACACCCCCTTCCCCAGCCGCCGGAAATGGTGTGAGTTCCATAAGACCTCATCCCATGACTCGCGCGAGTGTGGGGGAAAAGGTAAACAGCAACCGGCTCAGACCGCCGCTATATGCACAAAACCATCTCGCCTTGCCGCACATGCAAGAGCGGAGATGATCATTCCCTCAGATGGTCCGGAAACAAGAGCATTTCCTCCCATCGTGGAGAATATATTAGTCAACGGAACACCTGCCCGTTGCTTAAACGACACTGGGTGCTCGTACGACGCCATAGTGCGACGTTCATTGGTCAACCCAGCAGACATCACCGACGATACAATTGCTGTGCAAGGCGCTAATTTGGACCTCCCTCCCATGATCCTTCAGATAGCGAAGATCAGAGTGGAATCAAGATATGTAAATGGAGTGATTAGTGCGGCTGTTAAGGACTCGCCGATCCATGACATCATTTTGGGTTGCCGTTACGTGTTTTTGGGTAGCCCCGAAACGCCGATCTATGTCGCCCCCATGGTGACTAGATCGAAAAAGCCACAGGGTACCGAGGGTGAGCAGCTTAACCCAATGCCTAAGGAGATGCGAGCCGCTCAAAGAGACGACCCATCCCTCGCCCGGTTATTTACCTTAGTGGACCAAGGAGAACCCCAAAGGGGCAGGGCTTTATTCTTCTTGAAGTGTGGATTACTATATCGCCGTGTAGGTGATAAGGAAGGTAATAGAAGTCAACTTGTTGTTCCAATCCAGTCCCGGCAAGAAGTAATGGAAGTGGGGCATGCCGCTTCTATGAGTGGACACCAAGGACAAGGCGCCACTTTCAATCGAATCCGTTATTACTATTACTGGCCAGGAATGACAGGGGATATCAAGAGATACGTATCTTCTTGCCCTCAGTGTCAGAAGAGATCAGCCAGAAGTTATGTGCCACCTGTCCCGCTGGGGAGAACTCCATTGATTGAGACACCATTCAAAAGGGTGTCCGTCGACATTCTTGGTCCACTCACTAGGACCAGGAAGAGAAATGCCTACATATTGTGTGTAGTGTGCCAGTCATCACACTGGCCAGAAGCCGCTGCTCTGCCCAGTATTGACACAAAACATGTCGCTGAGGCACTATTCACCATATTCACCCGAATAGGATTTCCCGAGGTAATTCTTACGGACAACGGATCGCAGTTCACGGGAAAACTGATGTCTGAAGTGTATAAAACATTCAACACTACACACCTAAGATCCTCCGTATACCATCCACAAGCCAATGGACTGGTTGAGCGGTTCAATTCCACGCTCATATCCATGCTCAGACGTCTAACGGATGGACGACCCGAAGAGTGGGACATTTATTTACCTGCCGCTCTATTCGCCTACCGAGAAGTGCCGCAGGCGAGCCTGGGTTATTCCCCTTACCAAATCATATACGGTTCACAACCAAGGGGGCCACTTGAGGTTCTTAGGCAGAACTGGACCAAGGACGACGTAGACGAGGAAGCCAAGACCGTCTCCCAGTATGTGCGAGACTTGAAAGAACGCCTGGAACGGGTAAGAACCCTAGACCTGGATAACCAGAGGAGAGCGCGTAGGCGGCAGGAAAAACATTACAACCGCCGGGTTAAAGAAAGGTCATTAGAAGCTGGAGACAAGGTATTATTACTGTTACCGAGTCACACTAACAAATTACAAGTTTGTTGGCAAGGACCCTTCGTCATAACCCGAAAGATGTCCGCCACAAATTATTTGATAAGGATAAGGAACAAGGAAAAGATGTATCACATCAATTTGCTGAAGAAGTATATGGAGAGACCTGGCTCAGAGTTTAGCCATTCATTGGTAGCCTTTGCCATAGCAGAGGACGTTATTGAGCCTAAGGCTACGACTGAATACCCCCTTGTTTCAAAAGAAACGTTTCACGACGTAACCATCAGTCCTGAACTATCACTGCATCATAAACAACAAGCTGAAGATCTGATCGCCAAATACCCTAAGGTGTTGACCGACAAACCAGGAAGGACTAGCCTTGAACGCCTCACCATGACTGTCATTGATGACACGCCAGTGCGCGTCAAGCCTTACCCCTTGCCTCACGCTAAGGCACATATTGTTGAACGAGAAGTGGGCGAATTACTGAAAGCTGGGATTATTGCACCGTCATTGTCGCCTTATAATGCCCCGATAGTCTTAGTAAGGAAACCCGATGGGAGTCATAGAATGTGCATTGACTT